GATTCTGGCAATTAGTGGCAAAAGTCGAGGGTCGGGGACAATAACGACGCATGAAAAAAAAAAAAAGGACAGAGGGGCGAATAGAACAAAGATTTCTGCGTTCGGGAGAGAACTCGGGCGCCGAGGCGGTGGTGGAACTCAAACGTCATTGTCAGGCTTGAGCACCATGAAAGAGGACGCTTTGCCTGCAAAGCATGTGACAGGAGGCTTGAAAAGCGATTTACTGCATAGGGCACGCCAGCAAGGCCGGGGTGAGTTTGGGCCGAAGAGAAAGAACAGGCGTTAGGTCCTCGTACGGGCACACACCCGTGAGCCGCATCGAAGGCGCTCCAGCATGTACTCGTCGTTTTGGCCGGCCGTCTGGAAGCGCGGCAGCGTAGAGGAGAGGTTGGCAGTCGATTGCTTGCCCGTCATGGGTAGAGCTCCGGTGCCAGCTCGCATGCCTGGCCCCGTAACATCTTTCTGCACGCATGGCAAAGCACGATGGACACACGTGAGGCAGGCGGGCAGGTCGTTGAAAGGCGTGACCGATGGTCCTGATCACATCAAACGAACCATGTTTTGCTTGTACATGTCATCAAATACTGTTTTGCGCGGCGTGGGCCGCCCGCCTGTTCCCGAGAAGACAAACATGACAATGAGCAGCACGGCGATGGCCCAGCAACAAAGCAGGGAAGCAAAGGGGCAGGGAGGGGCCAAGTACCGTGGTGGGTCGCGGGTCGGGGCTCGACAAGGGGGGCAGTGTAGTGGCCAGGTCCAGGGTCCTCCGCAGGACGGGGCAGGTGGGCCAAATGATGCAGGCCATAGTAGTCGGTGGGCTTTTTGGGGAAGCGGGCTGTTTCGGAAAATTCAATCACGGGCACGCGATGGGTGGTGGAGAGATTGGCTTCAGGAATGCCATACTGCCCCGGAGCAAGGCCGATGCGATCAGCCGAGGAAGGGAAGCGAGGTCCAGTGGTAAAGTTGCACGGGCCTCGAGGCTCGCGAGAGAGGTCGTGCAAACCGTTGGCTCCGATTTTGGAAGCCGGCTTGACGGGACGCACTTGAACCTTTTGGTATTGGCTTGGAGATGGACCGGGCTTGGGTGGGGGAAATGCAGAGCTGAGTCAAGGGAACGAGGGAAAGTCAAGCGAGGATGGGTTGGGCAGGTGAGGTGCAGGCCTAGGGCCAGCAATACAAGGCTTGGGCGTCGATGGGCCATGGACGGCGCAAGACGTACTGGACTTCGTCGCGGACGGCATCCAAGAGGCCACGTCGGCCCGGGTGGCGCAGCGAGGCCGAATACTCATCCATGCGGGTGGTTGCATCGCCGTATTCGACAGGGCCCGGGACGGAGCTTTGAAATTGGTTCTCGGGTTGATAGCGAGGGCCTGGGCGATTGAGGCTCATGGGCACGCGGCGCGAATGCATGGTCTCCATGCCAGTCAAAGGATAGGTGC